GCTTTCACAGACTAAATTGTTACTAATTGTTACTAAGAGGTGCATCCTTGGGAATCTACCCTTAAGAGCAGCCTAGATGGCCAAAGGCCAGACCCCAGGGAATACACCAAAAAGGAACCAACTTGGAAATCTGTAGGTAACCTGCCAACTTGTGATCATCTCATAAAGTGCTTTCCCACAACTTCAACAGAAACTGTCTCCACTTCCTACTGGTGGAATCTCTAGAGCAAATTCTCAACCCTGACTAGTCCTCAGAGGCAACCAGGCAGCTCAGCTGATGTTCCTAGAGCCTCACCAGCAATTCCGAATACTACAGGACTCAAATGTAATGGATAGAAAGACAGGTAAATAAATAGGGAAGATGTATCCCCAAAGCTCCTAGCTTTTGTTTACTTTCAGCTTATTTATATATCCTGAATTATGGTGCATTACTATAAAGCAAGCAACACTTGAGAAGGCAGATTTAGCATATGGGTCGAATTCTTGAAAGGACAGTGTTATTGTAGATCCTAGGACTTAGCCATTTACATATAGAAAAGCAATTTATATATCATGAATTTTACAGAGCTTATAGGGTAATATAACTAATACTATATTACACTACCATGATAATCCTAAAATATTATTACCATGCCTAAGTCTGTATGGTAATGCATACAGAATGTACATCCAGTATAATCCCAAATACAAAAAGTAAAGCCTTTAGGTTAGAAAGAACAGAGTGAGGACATGAACACCCTGTCGCTTTGAGGCTAAGATCCAGATAACATATAGAAATGGGAAAGGAGATACATCTGTCATGTCTTCCAAAATGAGCTGAGGACATCTGCAGCTTCTGCCATCATCTCACTGTAGCACAACGGCAAAAACAGATGTAAAAATAGAAGTGATATATTCAACTATTAACAGTGAAGCAAAACTGAATATAGCAGCCTGCAGCAGCACTGACGTAAAATGGGGAACAGCTTCTTCTGGGGCAGGCTGTCTCGAGTGGACAATGTGCCAACGAACTAATGATGTTCTCTCCATCCGTGTCATCCCTGACGTCTTCAGAAGGGATGAGGAGGAGGAGACAAGCGAGAAGGTCACAAACTGACTGCAGCAAGTGATATTCTCCTGACTGCAAAGTGAAGGAGCCCATTTGTTGGGAAGGAAACCCCTCCCCCTGGGAGTGCACCACCCACTGCAGCGCCTCCTAATGAAGTTCATGGGCAGGCACACAGCTGTGTGCAGCCTGTGGGAGCTGCAGTAGGGAGAGTGCTGGACAGGGGGACAGGAGAGCACAGAAAAAGATGAGGGAATTTCTAGAGCCAGGAAGTGACCACGTGGGTTTTCTGTCAGTGTCACCTCTGCTCCACTGGGGAGGAAGCTGGGAGCCCATTTGGCAGGTTCTGCAGAGCAATTCACAGGAAGAGAGGAAGACCCTCTATCAGGAGAATATTTTCATTAATGGAGCGCCTGGAGCTTTTTGGTTGTTTATTATTACTTGACTTTATTTTTTTCTAAATTGAGACATCATTCATATAAAACATTCTCTCTAAACATGTATACTTGAGAGTTTTTAGCATGCCACGAGAACTGTTCAACCATCACAGTAATTGCAGAGCATTTTTTATCACCACAGAAAGGAACCCTTACCCATTAATAAGTCACTCCCCCAACCTCTCCAGCTTCAGTTTACTTTCTCTTTTACCTATTCTGGATAGTTCATATAAATGGAATCATACTGTATGTGGCCTCTTATGCCTGTTTTCCCCACTTATCGTGAGGTTTTCAAGATTCATCCATGCCATAGCATGAATTAGTACTTTATCCCTTTAAAGATAATAACTTATTATCTAATAATTTAGCCACTTAGACAGTGGCATCTGGCACATTCACAATGTGGTACAACTTCCATATGTTTTAAAATCTTCCCATCACTCCAGAGTAAAACCCCTTACCCATTAAGCAGTATCTCCCCATTCCCTCCTCTAGCCCAGAAACCACCCATCTCTGGGCTTTACCTATTTGGGGAATTTCATATAAGTGGAATCATATAATATGTGACCTTTGTGTCAGATTTCACTTAGCATTACGCTTTGGAAGTTTATTTTTTTCACAACACGTGTTAGGTATTCCTTTTAATTGTCAGTAATATTCCATTGTATAGCTATATCACAATTTGTTTATCCATTCATGTGTGGATGAACACTGGATTGTTTCTAATTTGGAATAATGCTACTATGAATATTTGTGTACAAGTCTTCATGTGAATACATGTTTTCATTTCTCTTGGGTATATATCTAAGAAGTAGAACTGCTGGGTCATATAACTCTCTATATTTTACTTTTCCAGGTACTTCTGGGCTGTTTTCCAAAGTGATTGTATTATCTTACACTTCTACCACTACTGTATAAGAGTTCATATAAATGGAATTTCTCCAAATCTTATATAACATTTGTTACTGTCTGTTTTTGACTTTGGCTTTCCTAGTGGGTGTGAAGTAGCCCCACTGTGTGTTATTTTTTTTGTTTTAAAATCAAAGCCACCCCTATACATAGTTTAAAAAGATAAGGCTCAAGTATAGATGCTCCATTCCTCTCCATTTCCATTTCCACAAGGCACATACTTAAAATTCTTTCAGTGGTTTCTCCTGGTATTTATCTTATATTTCTTGTATTATGCTTCTACTGTTATTTTAAAATCCATTTTAGATACTATCTCTTGACCTCCAACTATAAAAGATGAGCATTTATTGTATGTGCACAAAAACACATACTCATTTTATCCTTCCTTCTTTGCAGTATGATTACAATCTTCATTTTTGGTTAAATCAGTAATTGGCATTTACATTGTTATGATTATGCATTTATAGCCATGTGATGTACAAAGATTCTACTTTACTTAATCATACTTTTTCCCCCTTAGATTTCAGATGACCTAGGAGGAAAAATCTGCCTCATGTTTTCTATTTCCTCAATTATCTACATACCAATTACAAATTCATTTTCAAATTCTGCAAGAAGACTAAAAATCACTCTCTATATATTCAAACACATTGGACGTTCTATTTCTTTCTTTTTTGGGGAAACATGTAGCCAAAGCTCATTAGTATTTGTTGAAGGAATGAATGAAGATAACTAGCCAGAATAAAGACCTAGAGCCAGAAAAAAAATAACAACAACAACAACAAAAAACTTAGACATTACTTCTCCCCCCTGACCTTCTGGGTTACAGTATTTACAAGATGGGTTCACTTTAGAGGTGAGAGACATTCCAGGCCCAGAGAAGTGACTGGACTTGCCAAAGCATGAGAACAAGAGTTCAGAAGGAACAGGGCTGGAACACCAGTCTTCTAGGCCTTAGAACCCCTACATCAGGTTGCTTCCACAGAAAACAAAGGGCATTTATCCTGAAGCGGATGTGGACTTTGGATCTTTATCCTTTAAATATATTCAATTCCCTGAAACCTAAAAAGTAACTGCTTGTGCTAAGAATCCAAAAGAAAGGGCACAAAGAGTATTATCATAATTGGTAAACCCTCTTAGTGCTCATTGCTGCATTTAATATCCTCAAAGCTATAAATCAGTCAAGATCTATGAAATCCAAACTTTCCACATGAAATTACTCTGAGGATTATTACTATTAATTTGAATTTGAATATTGCGAAGTCTAGTTACTTCCTAACAAAGTCCCATGCCCAAGCAGTGCTGCGTATGATTGTGGCAGGTATGAATTGCTTTGGTCTGACCAGCATCTACTTCCCCATCCTCGGATAAGAGTTCTTTGATTTTGATACCATGGTGTGGAACATGATGTCAGCATAGAGCTGCCATGGACCATATTGGGAGAGGACCTGCCTGAGCTCAAGGGCCACTACAAAGAAAGCAGAACTGACAGGGACAGCACATGAAAAAGTCTCCATACCCTGCTGCGCAAATAAAATCCTGTATTTGGATTGTGCTTCTGCTGCTTACAACCAAAAGGAGTAATGACTTATACAGACATTGTAAGGAGAGGCTGAGCCACTTCTGAGTATCAACCTCCCAAACTCATGTTTTGAGACAACTAGGACATTAATTTCATATTGATTTCTTGTACTTATATTTTTCTAAATGTATTTGTTTCTATTACATCATCTGATTCCCCAGGCTTTTTTTTGGGGGGGGGGGTAAATGATCCACATTTTAAAGTTGTGTCTCAGCATAAAAACAACTCAGAACATATTTTATAAATTATCACATATAACTTCCTTACAAATAAAAACCCTAACATTTTTCTTTTTCCTCCACTCTAGTTTCTTCTCCCTAAATTTACTTACTTTTCCAAGTCAGCTCTTTTAAATTTTAATACTAGACAATTCTTATTTCCGTAGCTATAGGGGAACCACACATCTTTGTTCTAACTGGTTTCATTCCTACTTTGTAGCCATGACTTTTCCACTCAGCACACTTGTCCCTCCACAGTGTCTTACACAAAAAATGTCCGGGTGGATTCCACAGACCGTCTTTGAACACCTAAGGCCTATGATTAAAGTAGGGGTGAGGGGCTCCAGCCCTGCTTTCTCATCCTCCAGGCACTATCCAGTCATTGCCAATGACGTAGGATTATACTTACAGCTATTTGTGTACTGTCCAGAGTCCAAGCTTCAGGACAGAATTCACCTGTTCTTTACTAATGCTGAGCACCTAGCATATGACTGGCATGTGGTAGATATTCAATAAACATTTATTAATTGAATAAATTAAAATAGGCAATACAGGTATAATTTTACTGATATTCTGATTTTATGGATAAGGAAACTGAGGCACAGAGACTTTTAGTGACTTGTATAAAGTTCCACAGTGAGTTAGAGAGGGGTTAAGATACAGTTCTCCTGCTTGGTTGTTCTTCTCTTCTACCACATCACTTCCTGAGCATATATCCCATTATCAAAAAATTCAGGTATAATATCTTAGTTATTAAATAAACGAAGATTTTCAAGTGCCCAAAATGATTCTTAAAGTTTAAGACCTACCGTGGTATCCACAGCCTTGACCTTTTCTGTGGGAATGTGCTTTGGGACAGGTTCTGTCTGGGACAGCAACACACATCCTTTGTCCCCCAAGGTGATGATTACGACCTTGCAGCCCCTTGCCAGGAGTACCGTTGCAGCCTTCCCAGCCTCCTCTGGGTTGCCCACCGTGAGGCCTGTTAAAATCTCAGCCTGGAACACACAAAGGAGAAGAAACAGTGGTGAGAATGAGTAACTCAGATCCACTTCCAGATTTGCTTTTCTTAACACAAATGCAATGGGAACCTTGATGGATACCAGTGTAGGAAAATAAACAAGAGAGAACAATAACAATGACAACCAAAACTAGCTAAAAGACATTCTTGGGATAATCAGGGAAATATGAATGTGGCTCAGATATTACATGACAGTACAGAATTATTGAGAATTTTTTTAAGCATGATAGTGGTATTGTGGCTCCCTGTAGGAGATGCATACTGAACTTACTCTCAATGAAAACACAATTCTTGTTTTTAGTTACTTTTTAATAAAAACAAAACCCAAATATATCCTGGGGAGGGAGAAGCAAACAGCAAAATGTTAGTACCTGTGTAGGTGGAGTGTTCACTCTATTACTCTTTCAGCTTTTCTGCTCATGGAATAATTTTTATGAAAAAGAGAACAAAAGGAATTCTACAAATAGAAGAAGGAAAGATGGGAAAAAGAAAGAAAAGAAAAAAGAGTCATTGCCAATGATGTAGGATGAAATTGTACATATATATATATATATATATATATATATATATATATATATATATATTTATTTTAGCATCAAGGATATGATTCTTCCAGGGCCATGGTGCCTTTCTCAGTTACTAGTTAACTGGTTACTAGCCTTCCTTGGCTGCAGATGACTCACTTTTTTTGCTCAGTTGTTTATACTGGAGCCGCTGAAGGCAGAGAAGAGAGGCACTGATGGCAGAAGCCTTAGCATTCACTGACTCTGTGACCTTCCCTGGGTCACTATCCAGTATCTCCAAGGAATCTCTCTGGTTCTGAGATAGGCAGTTTAAAAACCACTAGAGGAATTACATGGTACTTTTTGACTCAGAAAGTAGATACATTCTCTGTTTTTGCTATTACAATTTAACCATACACTACCTCTTCTGGAGAATGGATCTATCTTCTTTGCGTTTGCTCATGCCCAAATCAATGCTTTTTGTCATCTATAAATCATTCCACAAGTGTCTGCGCATCCTGAGTTTGCATTTTCCCAGTAGCACAGGTTAGCACATGCTTCACCAACTTGACCATGGACCCCCCTCTTACCATCTTTTGTATAGACCTTTTTAGTCTGGGTTGGTTATACTTTGAGGTCTTTCTTTCTCCCCACTACTGGGGACCAAACCCTGGGTCTTTTTTTTTTTTAATAATTTTTTTTTTTTTAGTTATAGTCAGACACCACAATACCTTCATTTTATTTATTTATTTATATGTGGTGTTGAGGATCGAACCCAGCACCTTGCATGAGCTAGGTGATAGTGCTACTGTTGAGCCACAACCCCATCCCAAATCCAGGGTTTACATGCAAGTACTCTACCACTGAGCTACATCACCCGCCCTTTTTGTTTTATTTTGATATAGGGTCTCACTAAGTTTCCCAGTTGGCCTTGAATTTGTGATCCTCCTGCCTCAGCCTCCTGAGTAGCTGGGATTATAGATGTGTGCCACTGTGCCCAGCTTCTGATACTATTTTTTTAAAAAATAAATTTTGCATTGGTCTTCCTTACTGGAATCACTTACGTCTATTGAGTTGGATGGTCTCTTTTCAGAAATACCAACTTGTGTCTTTAAAAACTTTTTTTTTAAATTTAAATTTCATTTTTGCAATACTGGGAATTAAATCCAGGGACACTCTACCCTTGAGCTATATCCCTATTCCTTTTCATTTTTTGTTTTGAGAGAGGCTGTTGCTAAGTTGCCCAGGCACATATCCAACTTGTGATCCTCCTGTCTATCTCCCAAGTAGTTGGGGTTACAGGCAGGCACCTCTACTCCTGGCCTTCTAGAAACCTTTTAAAAACTACTGTTTAGGGCTGGGATTGTGGTTCAGTGGTAGAGCATTTGCCTAGCATGAGTGAGGCACTGGGTTTGATCCCCAGCACCACATTTAAAAAACTAAATAAACTAAATAAAGGCATTATGTCCATCTACAACTAAAAATATTTTTAAAAAACCAAAAACTATTGTTTAATGAAAAAAATCTTTTAACATAGGAAATAATGCATCCAGCATCCATTTACCTATCACAGACTTTAACAAATTTTAACATTTTATTTGATTCAGATACATTATTATTATTATTACTATTAGGGATTGAACCCAGGGCCTTACACATGCTAGCAAGCAGTCTTCTACCAAGCTACATTCCCAGCCCAAGACAGTTTTCTTTAAAGAAATTAAATATCTCTCACATAATATTAACAATTTTTTTTCTCTTGTGTTGGTGATATGATTATTCTTGCCATTTACATTTAATCTTTTTTCTCTCTGATCATTTAAAAATATTTTTGTTTTTATTCCCAGTTTTATGCAGTTCCATTAAAATGTACCTAAGTAGAGAATCAGATTTGTTTATTTTACATGGCACTTTTTTTTAATATGTATTTTTATGGTTGTAGGTGGACACAATACTTTTATTTTTCTGTGATGCTGAGGATCGAACCCAGTGCCTCACACATGCCAGGCTAGCGCCCTACCACTGAGCTACAGCCCCAGCCCTCCATGGCACTTTTATACACTTTTGACCTGAGGACTTGTGTCTTTTCTCAGTTTTAGAAAGCACCTTGCAGATTTTCCTCCAGTATTGCTTTTCTTGAGTTCCCACAGTTCTCTTTTTACTCCAATTAGATGCAATGGGGCCCCTCAAACCTCCATCTCTCTTTAATATTCTTCTTTAATATTTAAAATATTTTTCTTTCTGCCCTGCTTTCTTGGTGAACTGAATTTTCTATCTCTAAGTGAATGGATTAAGAATCTTCCAATTCAYTACTTCCTTATTCCAATGTGTTTATTTATTGCAGTTCTGGTGATTGAACCCAGGGCCTCAAATATACTAGATAAGCACCCTATGACTGAGCTACATAACCCAGTCCTAATGTTTGTTTATTTACTTATTTATTTGAATAATTTTTAGTTGTAGATGGACACAATACTTATTTGTTTTTATTTGGTGCTGAGGTTCGAACCCAGTGCCTCACACGTGCCAGGCAAGTGCTCTACCACTGAGCCATAACCCCAGCCCACCTAATGTTTATTTTTTCATGAATGATGTAAAATTTTTTTCAGTGACCACTTTTGTTTTCAAGATGTCTAATGAGTTGTTTCTCATATTTACATATTATTGCTTTGATTCTGTTTTTCTTTCACAATTTCTTCTTCAACAAACATTAATCATGTTTACTTTACAGTCTTTCCTTGCATTGTTTTATTATTTGAATTTCCTCTTCAGACTGCCGACTCTGCTGGTTGCTGGTGTGTCTGCTGCTTTGTGCGCAGGCTCACTCTCCTTGCCGTCAGAAGGAGAGTCTTCATAGTTCACCTCCCACCTGGCCGATCTCTACCTTTCTAGAGGTTGTAGGGTTTTATTTATCAGGCGTTCACGGATCTCAAAACCAGAGCAAGGTAATATACTGGTCATAAAGAGTTCCTGCTTTGCAGTGATTGGGACACTGACAATGAAAACTCTTAAGTCATCGTTGGTTTCCCTCCTCCTCAGAGGCAGTGTCTCTGTCCCTCCTCTGGTGGGAGCCTTAAATATTGTAGCCTTGTGGAAGGGGTAGCATCTTCTTCCACCTCTTATTGTTCACAGGCCAGCCAGGCCAGCACGATTGGTTTCCGGCTGTGGGCACCACTCGTCTCCCCATGTGGTCCACTTTTAGTGCCGGTTACCTAAGGATGTGAGATGCCCATCACTCTCCCAGTTTCCCAGCTTCCTGTATAGCACACCAAGGGCTGAATGCTCTGTGAAGCTGTTATAATTTGATCTGTAGAGTTATTTAATTTTATTTTGAAGCTTCTATCTTTTTATTGTTTTTGTGTGTGTGGTGCTGGGATTAAATCTAGTAGTACTCTACCACTGAGCTATATCTAGCCTTTTTAATTTATTTTGAAACAGGGTCTTGCTAAGTTGGCCAGGCTGGCCTCTAACTTGCAATCCTCCTGCCTCAGTCTCCAGAGTTGCTGGGATTACAAGTGTCCCACTGTGCCCAGCTCATTGTTTCTTCTCTTTCCTTTTTTAAAAAATATTTTTATTGTAGATGGACATAATAACTTTATTTATTTATTTATTTTTTAATGTGGTGTTGAGGATTGAACCCAGTGCCTCACACATGCTAGGCAGGTTCACTACTACCGAGCCACAACTCTAGCCTCATTTAAAAAAAAATACTTATATATCAATGATTTGGGTTTGAAACAGAGGCAATATCTTAGGCATGAATGTACATTATTAGTGAGAATTATTTGAATCAATCTATAAGAACATTAAAACTTTTAAAGTTTTTCTTTTTTTTTGATAGAATTTTTGAAACTAATTTTCTTAAAGACCAGTGTTCATGCATTTAATAAGCATTTACTAGGTGCCAACTTTGTAAGGTACAATGTAGCAGATGTTATTTTCCAAAGATAACCATATGAATGTTGTGCATGCACTTTTTACACTATAACAATGCAGTCTTCTGTTGAGAGATGGGGTACCAGGGTGAACCTTCCTTCTTCAACCAACACAATGGGACAGAATGATGCTAAGTAAAAGGCCAACATGACTTCTGTCTGTTGCACTCTCTCTTTCTCGATGCTGGGATCTGGGAAAACAGCTACCATATTGTGAGGAATCCCAGGACACAAGGAAAGGCCATGTATAAGTGGCCCACAGCCCTATCATGCCCCCAGCTAACAGCCAGCACCAAACTGTCAAGCATATGCATGAAAAAGACTTCAGATAATTCCATCCCTCAGCCTTTGAGTCTCCCATGGAGGGCCCAAACATTATGGAGCAGAGATAATCCATACTGTGTTCTGTCTGAATTCCTGATACATGGAAACTACGAATGACGATAATTATTGTTATAAGCCAATTCATTTGGGGGGGTAATTTATTACTCAGCAATTGATAACATATACACATAGGGATGGCTACCGGGGATACAAGTGAATAAGACAGGTGCCCTGTCCTTATGGAACTTGTAATTTAATGGAGAAGATAGGAGGACTGAATAAATAAATTTAGGCTGTGATGAGTGTTTAAAGAATACCTAGAGTGCTGTGTAAGTATCTAGCAGGGAAATCTGAGCCAGTTTGGCAGTTGAGGGTAATGTAACCTTTTATTGTGAAATGGTCACTCTCTCCCACAATTCCTTTTTCTTAGTCCAATGCCTCGCTATGTTGGTTGCTCGAAAATATTGCATAACCTATTGTGGTTTGTTAAATTAGTTTCCATGTAGCAGTCTTCTTTTTCGTGTCCTCTATGTTCTAAAAGATGAAATTATCAAAAAAGCAGGTCAAGAAATCTAGAGACTTTCATTCAGCCTTTGAACTAAATGGCAAATGACTTTACAGTTCATTAATGATGTTCTCTATGCGCATGTCGCATTTGCCAATGTGTTTGCAGGTCCTGCATCCTAATCATGGGAGAGAGCTCTGGTCTAATGCTGTCTAACCTATAAAAAGAAAGAAATACTGAATTTTCTTCCTAAAAATACTGACAATACCCTCATATCAACATACTGGGAGAGATTTTGTGCAGATGTGTACATTATGACCCTCAGATGGACTCAGAGGCTGCCACCCTTATGCAGTGGCCCCCAAGGACTTTGCTGCGGCATCATGAAGAACCTTTGTCCACCAGTGCTGTCACGGGGTCTCACCACAGAAAGCAGCAGTCACGCTAGGAGTTGTATACTAACTAGGGTCATTAGATAAAACACAGGAAGCTCAGCTAAATCTGAATTTCAGATAAACAACCAATAATTTTATAGTGAAAATATGTTTGGTATATTATTCACTGACTATCTGAAATTCAAATTTATCTGGGCATCTGTATTTTTATTTGCTCAACCTGGCAACTCTAATGCTAATTAGTTCACAGAATATGAAATAATTAGAAAAGAAAACAAAACACCAGAGTGTGAGGGCAGGAAGGGGACTAACTAACGGGTTTGATAAGTACCACATTAAGGAGGTGACTCAAAGAATTCCCCCAACCCACAGAACTTACTGATTTCTTTTTCTTCACACCCCAGCAAACTGAAAAATCTGTGTTCATTATGTCTAAGACACGTGTGATTCAATCGACGTAGTTCATCCTGCCTCTGCTTTATCCCCTTACATGCAAGTCTTCCAGTTTCTCAAAGAATGGCCACCCCAGTTCATCCTTACCTCGCTTTCATTGCAGCAGAACACGTCCGAGAGGCTGTAGAACTGCGGATCCAGGTCAGCAATGGCAGGAGCTGGATTGAACAATGTTTTCACTACAAAGGAATGGGAAAGAGGTTCGATGGTTATCATTTTTAACATGGTGCATTTACAGACATTTGGTAGGACAAATCCCTGATTGCAATCATGTTTGCATTCATCCGATTAAATATCCATTTAGTACAGATGTGGAGAAGTCTGAAATCTCAGTCTCCATGATAGTTGAGCACCAGTGCCTTCTTATTTCCATTTCCTCTACTTTTTTACTTTACATTTCAGCTTCAAGGGCAAGCATCAATATTTACAGCCAAGGTGATCACAGAGTTAAGGTAAGGGCAGGGAAAACATTAAAGAGGAATAAAGATGTTGTGGCATGAAAGGTTGTGAATGAGTCTGAACAGGTGGGTGAAGATTTTTGTGGGTTCCTGTAAGTGCTTAGTTGCAAGGCTAGTTCATAAATCCATTTTCTAGGAAAGAAAAAAGAGATCACAGAAAAGAAACAATGAAGAGTTCAAAATTTTCCTGAATTGAGTAGTATGAGGAAACTCAGGTACATATATATATTTTATATACCCATGTGTGCTTCCCAAATATGTTACATCACACAGACACACACACAAGCTTACCCTTTTGGCTTTTGTGAGCAATCTGGGAATGTTAAAAAAAAAAGATTGAGAAAGGAGGAGAAATTAAGTCAGAGGCTGAGTGCTGGCTCAGACTAGGAGGTGACTCGAGAAGGATGGGTGGAGATAACTATAGTGGGCAAAGGAGAAGGTCACTGCTATCACAGTGACAGAGAAGTGCATTTTTTATAGGAGGAAAACAAGGCTGAGAGATGAGATCCTGTGTGGAAGGCCCTCCCTGGGATGTCATCTGGCAGGGTCCCTACCCAGGGTCCTCTGACTTTAAGTTCAGGGTTTGGTCCTCTCTAAAATAGCTTCTGTAGGCCAGAACTCAACTCTAAGCAATACATGCCTCCAACCTCAATTCACCATATCTTGAAATAGCCTTTGGTGTAAAATTTTAAATTATTTTAAAGTCTTCAAAAATTTTATTTGCATGAAGAACCTTCTTTGCCACAACTCAGGTACACGTGTATTTTATATGCCTCCCAAATATATCCTGCAGTACACTAAACTGGACTGGCTGGTCTTCTTTTCCTCAACCCAGGTCCACTGACTTAGATGTGAAGTAGTCTCATCTGTCTATAGATGGGTAGAGTAAATTCCACTAGTTGCGGTTCTCCAAGATTATCTCCAGAACAGTGGCTTGGAAACCTGGCGCCTATCAGCATCAGGGAGAGCTTGCTCAAGTGCATGATTTCTTTTTTTTTTTTTTCTTATCAGCTTTATTAAGGTGTATTTAAGAAATGTACATTGTGTGTATTTTGGTGTACAATTTGATGTTTTTATTTATGTATATATTGTTAAGTGTTTATATCAGGTTAATTAACATATCCATCATCTCACACACATTTTTTCTAACAGTGAGAACATTAGGATCTACTCACTTAGCAATTTTCAATCATTAAAAAAAATGACATACTTAGTTAACATGCTATGCAATTGCAATCCAGAATATTCATATCTTTTAAAAATTGTTATTATTTATTCTAATTTGTTATATATGACAGCAGAATTCAAGTGCATGATTTCTGGACTCCACTTCAAACCCACTGAGTCAGAATCTCTGGGGGTAAGAACAGGGTCTCCAGGTGGCTCTCACATAGCCGCTTGGAAGTGACCTATCCCACATTCATGGAAAGATGCTAATGAGCATGTGGCTGATGGAAAGAGTCCACCACTGTAGCCCCATGAGGCTGCCTAGTCTGCACCCTCTTAGGTCTTATATGATGTTTTGGTCCAGCCAGTGATCTTGTCCTGTATGGGCTAACACTATTTCCACATTTTTGTTATTGTAGATTCCATAATGTCCACCCACAGAAATCCTATTGTATATTTTTGGCAGCTCAAATTTTTGCACAGGGCTATTGTGCAACTTCAATTAGAAAATGGACATGAAAGCCCTGGGTAAACTGTAAAGTGTTGTACAAATGTAAAGGATTATCACTGTTATTATATTGTCCTTTACACACAGCCCAACACCCCCGCCAGTCCACCCATCCCTCTGCCTTCTGTGTAGCCTGGCAACAATCTCCCTCATTGGCTCTCTGGCTTCTGCGATGTCTTGGAGACGTCAGTTATGCATAAAGGTCCTCATTGTCCAGCATTTGAACACACCCACTTACTTTTTAGGTTTTCTGAACAATATATTGTTCCTTATTTGCCTCACACCCACCTAGGGTGATCTTCAAATTGGTACTCATTAGCATCAGAGCACAGGTTAGAGCAAGGTACCAGTATGGAACAGCAGGGTACAGTCATTTCCTTTTTCTTCCCCTAAAAGATGTCTGATCTAGCAATTCCTTTTCTTCCTTTATTTTTTTTTTTTATATCAGGGATTGAACCCAGGGGTGCCTAACCACTGAGCCACATCCACAGCTCTTTTTATTTTTTGAGACAGGGTTTTGCTAAGTTGTTTAGGGCCTTGTTAAGTTGCTGAGTCTTGCTTGCAATCTTCCTGCCTCAGCCTCCGGAGTTGCTGGGATTACAAGTGAGTGCCACCACACTGGGCTAGCAATTCCTTTTCTAAATCTATGCTCACAAAAATCTATAGGTATTCAAATATGATACACAGTGATGCTCATGGAGCTCTGTGCTAGAAAAATACAAAAAGAAACCTACACATCTAGCAAATGGATTGGTTAAAATCATGACATATTCGGGGCTGTCATGAGCGGTAGCGCACTCGCCTGGCATGCATGCGGCCCGGGTTCGATCCTCAGCACCACATACCAACAAAGATGTTGTGTCCGCCGAGAACTAAAAACTAAATATAAAAAAAATCTCTCTTTAAAAAAAAATTGACATATTCACCTGATGTAATTCTCTGCAGCAGCTAAAAAGAATGAAGTAGCTCCTTCCTTTGTGAGAGAAAGATTTCTATAATTTATCCGTACGTGAAAAAGGAAGGTTTCTACCAACTATTCATTTTAAATAAAACACATAAAAACATAACTACATGGGGCTGGGGTTGTGGCTCAGAGGTAGAGCGCTTGCTTAGCATGTGCAAGACCCTGGGTTTGATCCTCAGCACTACATATAAATAAATAAATAGAATAAAGATAGTCTGTGTAACTACAACTAAAAAATAAATATTAAAAAAACAACTACATACGTAGTTACATTTCTATACTTGCATAAAGAGAAAAGTCTGAGAAGTTACTGAATAAGTAATTAGTTATAAAAGGCTAATTGGAATAAATCTGAGTATAGACTAAATGTTGTACATCATGCAGTTAATCTTCCATCAAAAAACAGGTACACTGTTAATGAAATGATATAACAGCTGTATTGTGCAGTGGAGGGTAAAGAGTAATGAGTTGGGGTACAGATGAAAAAAACCCTGGTCATGTCTTGACATTTGTTGAAGCTAAATGAGAGCACATATGGACTTACCAATATAGTATTCTATATCCTTACATATTTGAAATTTTCCATAACAAAAACAATTTTAAGCTGGGCATGGTGGTATACACCTGTGGTCCCAGCTATGTGGTAGGTTGAGGTGGAAGAATCACTTAAGCTCATGAATTTGAGACCAACCTGGCTACCACAGTAAGAATCCCATTTCAAAGAAGAAAAAAATATTTAAAAACCTCACAAATTTTATTTTGTTATTGTTTTGTTTTTAGTTATATATGATAGTAGAATCTATTATGATATAATTATACAAGCATAGAATATGTCTTTTTCTAATTAGGACCTCATTTTGTGGATGTACACGATGGTGGGATTCACTGTGGTGTATTCATATAGGTACATAGGAAAATCATGTCAGATCCACACTGTCTTTTCTTTCCCTATCTCCCCATCCCTTCCTTTCATTCCCCTTTGTCTAATCCAATGAACTTTTATTCTTATTCTCCCCTACTTATTGTGGGTTAATTTCTACATATCAGAGAAAACAAGTGAACTTTGGTTTTGGGTTCTGGCTTATTTTACTTAGCATGATAGTCTCCAGATCCATCCATTTACTGTAATAAAATGTAATAAAGTCATTCTTCTTAAGGGCCAAGTTTTGTGTGTGTATATATGTATATGTACATATATATATCTCACATTTTATTTATCCATTCATCTGTTGAAGGGCATATAGGTTGGCTCCATAGGTTAGCTAATTGTGAACTGAGCTGTGATAAAACATTGATGTGGCTGTGGCACTGCAGTATACTCATTTTGTTTATTTTTATTTATTTATTTTTAATTTTTTTTTTAGTTGGGGATGGACACACAGTATCTCTATTTATTTGTATATGGTGCTGAGGGTCGAACCCAGTGCGTTATACATGCCAGGCAAAGTGCGCTACCACTGAGCTACAACCTGAGCCCCCAGTATACTCATTTTAAATCCTACATTTTAAATATATACCAAGAAGTGGGATAGCTGGGTTTAATGGTGATTCCATTCCTAGTTTTATGGGAGATCTCTATGCTGCTTTCCAGAGTAGGTAGGTGCATCAATTTGTAGTCCTATCAGCAATGTATGAACATAAGTTTTTCACCATATCTTCACCAACATTTATTGTTACTTGTATTTTTGATAATTGCTATTCTGACTGGAGTGAGATGAAATCTCTGTAATTTTAATTCTCAATTCTCTCTAGAGATGTTGAACACTTTTTCATATATTTGTTGACCATTTACACTTCTTCTTTTGAGAACTGTCTGATCATTTACTTTGCCCATTTATTGATTGGGTTGTTTTTTGGTGTTAAGTATTTTTAATTCTTTATATATTCTGGAAATTAATGCCCTGTCTCAGATGCATGTGGCAAAGATATTCTCCCATTCTATATGCTCTCTCTTCACATTCTTGATTGTTTCCTTTGCTGTAAAGAAGCTATTTAATTTGATGCCATCCCATTTATTGATTCTTGATTTTACTTCTTGTGCTTTAGGAGTCTTGTTCAGGAAGTCAGAACCCAACCCTGACA